ATTTTGTATCTATCTACACAGAACAAGATGACTAATAGTAGACCCCATATTTTTATATAACTTTTCAAAATTGAAGAAGAATATAAAGAAAAAAAAGAAAAAAATTTTTACAAAAGTTGAATTTGAAATTAAATCAAAAATTGAATCTAATAATAAAAAATTAAATAAGAAGGATTTGAAATTATTAAAGATTCAAATAAAAAAAAAATTGAAGAGATTCATTATCAAGAAATTTGTGATTTATAAATTTATAATCAAATATTTAAATAGAATTAAAAATATTTATATAAACTCTTTCCGTTGATCTTCTGACCACATACAAAAAAGATATTTGCAAGAAGTTTTATACTTTTTTGCTAATAAAATCTTTATACTTTCATTAAAATAACTTAAAGCTTGTCTTTACTTATCTATTCTACCTTTTTTTATTTGTTTATAAACTTCTTTGAATAAAAACTTGGATTTCTAGTAACCTGAAAAGATTCAAATATACACTTACTCTACTAAGGGCAAGAAGATTCTAGAAAGTAAAAGAATTAACAAGTGAAGTGTTATTTTACAGAGCTAAAAGTGACAAAAAATAAAGATTTTATTAGTAGGGAAAGGCTTATTATTTACCTTTTTATATACTGTCTTATATATTCTCAAAGTGTCTACTATTTTTCATAGTTTTTTTGAAGGATTTTATCTATCTCAATTTGGTCTTGAATTTCTAATAACATAATATTATCTGACATCTGATTAATTGATATAAAATATATTAGTAGCTAAATATAAACAAGTTCCTACTAGTTACCTCATGTGTTCTGATAATATTATTGATAATTGAAAGAGTTAATTGGTGCTTCATATTTATTTCACTTCTTCAATTGGATTAATCTATATATCAAGTTTTATGAGGTCAATAAGATATAAGTAACAAGTCTCAAGGTGATAAAAAAGCTACTATTTGTTTAAGCTGAGATCTTTATTTTCTATTATTCCAGTTAGGCAAAGTTCAAGATTAAGATCTCTTTTTTATTCCAGTTAAGTAATAAGATCAAATGATCTCTAATCCATACTAAGCTCCAATCTTTTGATTATAATTAAGAATATATTTTTTCAGAAGTTGTTGAATAATATTGTAATTGATAAGAATTCTCATTACTCTCAAGATCCTCTTACTATTACATGACAAAAGAATTATTAGGAATTCAGTCTTTTGGATAATAGAAGATATATATTAGTAAAATTTCTTTAACTAGGTATGACTGCTGAAAGGTATCATATCAAAACAATATGACCTAGTTCCTATTAGATCACATAAGAACCTGAGATCCATTATAAATCATCTTTCTATTACAGGTGAATAAAAAATCATTGTTCAAAGAAGATTGTGATCAAGTATGTCCTAGAAGTAAAGGCTCCTACTAAGTGATAAGTTTTCTTTAACAGTATATAAGAAGAAAAGCAAGATCAAGAATAAATAGATTTTTTTGATAATTAGAAAAAAAAAGAATATCCTAATCAGGTATTTATTATTGAAAAGAGGTCTTGAGAAATAAGTCTTTGGAAAAAGCCAAAAATCTTTTTTTTCAATTTTTTTCTTTTCATTTTCTTATTATCTATTTAGATATTTTTAGATATTCCTTTTCTTTTTTTTTTAATCCATCTTTTTGTAATTTTTTTGTATTCCAGTGACTTGATAAGACATATAATAGTAACAACCTACTGACAATAATATAGTAGACTAGAAGAGTTTTCATTCAAAGACACTGTGGAGTAAAATATGATTCTCAAGACTAAACTTAGAGGCTTTTATACTTATGACAAGTTAGTTAGATTAGAATAATAATTTAACTATAGTATATATTATGCTGCTCGAATAAAAATGTACTTATGTTTTCAATTGATTAATAAATCAACAATCTAACCTAACTACAAATACTCAAAAAAAAAAAAAGTAATATAACTTATTAATATTAAATATTTTTTGATTTTTAGTATGAATGATATTTTTCAAGAATATGAAAAATTAAATTCAAGAATTGTAGAAGTTACCAATATGAGAGAAATATATAATACAGTTAGAATAAAATTATTTAAACAATAATATATAGAAAATCAAAATGAACTATAACCATGTTTTTAATTATCTCAAGTAATAGAAGAAACAGATATTTGAAATAGTGAACAGCAATTTCCATGTTTGACATGTATTGTATGTGATTACTTAGTAATACCTGCAACTAGTATACCTATGGAACAGGTTTTTTCAATATACAGTAGTATGATCCAATTCTATCACATATATAGTTGATATTATTGCCATTGGATTTGGTTATCCCAACATAAAGATAATAAAAAAAAAATCTATTTTTTCAAAATACAAATAGTTAAATATTATTAAAGTTATTATACAGTATGTACTTTATCAAGAAATCAAATTTATTTATAAGCTAAATTTTATATCAAGTCAACTAAACTAAATGGCAGTTCAAGTTATATAAGAACATTTATTCCCAATCTTTAAACAAGCATTTAATGGTATTGGGAATTTTTTTTTTAAAAAAAAAGATTTCTTAAATACGATCTTGAACAATGCGAAATTTTAATTTTTAAATTTACAAAATCATTTATAAAAATATATTTACTAGTTCATATGTCAATGAACAAAACGATTATTATAGTACTAAATATTTAATTTTCAGTGCTTTGCAATTTGCTGTGCTATATTGTTTTAGTTTTAATAATGCATTGACCTTCGAGATAGTGTGCCAATCCAATTGAAAATGAAAATTGCAACTGGAAAGTTGATCAATGGTAGACTTGCGATATGCAATAACAGTATATCAATCTGTTCTCATACTTCCAAAATAAAAACTTATTTGAAATTCCTAAACAACATTATATCTTGAACGATTCTTAGTTGGGCCGTGTCTAGCTGATTTAAAAGATGCTCCAAATCGTTTAATGATCTTCTTTCGTTCTCAGTCAACAATTGAATAGAGGCATTGTCATTCAGTTGCTTCAAAGCTTCCTCATTTTCTTTTTTTTCTAATAATGTGGCGGCCAAAGTTTCTTGTGCAAATCTGACCTGATGAATGTTCGCGAGCGTACGATAATAATTGTCCAAAATTATCTCGTAACATTTTGAATAGTCAACGTACCAAAGGTAATAGGTACGCGATGGAGCTCTATCAGCGGATCTGGGTACTTCCTATGAAGAATTTTCTGGTTATGGATGATGGAATATAGAGTCCGTTGACTGGTCGGAATGGTTACCTGAATCTGAATAAATCCTCCATTAAGCAGTTCGGTCAACTTTTGCCGAACGTCAGACATGCTCATCAAAGAAAACGTGGTTATCTATAAAATTAAAAGGTTCACTGCACACCGTCATTTGCTTATTCGCATATTCGGAGAATGAGTTATATGATACCAATGATATTAACCGATTTTTCACTCAACTTCTGATTCGAGTTCAATACTTTCATTATTCTTAAACCCATTATGCCATATTTCTCTAATATTATGTCTTCAAAGATTTCCTGTTTTAATGATTCACATAATTCTTGGTAATTGACACAATACATTCCGCCCAGGTTTTCATCTTTCTTATGCAAGAAATTTGTTTCGTCCTCTACAAGGTATTCCAGGTACTGCCTGATTAGGGCATCTCTTGTAGTTTTTCCTCTCTCCGTTTTCATTTGCGAGGCCAACATTTCAGTCTTTTCAACTGGCACAGTTTTAACAATTCTTTGCGCTGAAATCAATCCTTTGTAATATCCGAATGGCAAAAGAACAGTTATCATAATTCCATCATTTGAAGATTAGATTATTAAAAGTTCAAATGTAACCAAACACGAAAAGATGTAAATGGAATTTTACTAACTAGATTCAATTTCCTCGACTTTTTCATCATTAGAAATGTCGAGTATGGTTTTGGTAATTAAACCTGCAGATTCGTTAATGCGGATCCCGATGAATGACTCGAAACGCTAAGCCCAAAGGTATAAAATAAGTTATTTCGGTCTAATGAATGCAAAGTAAATAACACCCAAGGTTACCTTATTTCGCGCTTTAACATTAAACCTTTCGTAATTCACACGAAAGTACTGATTTTCCTAGATGTTGAAAGTCAAATTATTAGGATAAGAAGCGTCAAGCGCGTGATAAGTAATAACAGACCCACATCAAGTACTTCCTCTCCTTTTTGTTGCTATAAAAATTATCTCGTTAAGTGAAATTCAGAATAAAAATCAACCATTATTCCTGAATAACTGACCTTAGCAGGCCTATCCAAATTGACGGCACTGATTTTTCGTTTCTATGATGCCCGGAATTGAGTTACTTAGAGCCACCACCCAAAATAAATTTCTAATGAATCAAATAGATTACTACCGATCCAGTTGAGACATCATCCGAACCCACGTCCCCTGCAAGCTTAGCTTTAACCTCCGCCACCTGTTTTTTCGTAGGTATGAAATTTGTCACTTTTGCCAATTCACGTTGTTCTGCCTCTGAAGCTTTATCCTGAGCTGATTTTGAATCGGTAATATTGAAGGGAATGATGTAATGTTTTTCGATCATTCTGGAAAAAATTTCTTTGACATCTCTAAATTC